AAAAAAACAGGAAAGAAATTGGTGGCACATGGCAGAGATAAATCTTTGCTAGCATAGACAAAGAAAAACGCCTCGAAAAAAGCGAAATGTAAGTTAAGAATAAAGTCCCAAACGTCGAAAACCGAGGAGATTAAAGCTAAATTAGAGATTGGTTGTATACAAATTTAATGAGAAGTGAAACAAGAAGTGAATGAATGAAAGTCCCTGCACTTGACCAAAGTAGAAGAGGGCAGAATTGCAACTAACCAACATTGCAGGCACAGCTTGAATGAGTGATAAGACTTCTCACTGAGCGAAGCTGAGGCAGGCTTTAAGACTATCGAACCGAAATTATAGCTTTCGGAGAGGTATGATGAAGCAATTCGCTAGGATTTTGCCAGATGCCTACCTTTATATGCCTATTACATACATCGTTCTAAACTGCACCCAGAATACGCCAACATGAAGGAATGCAATTTTAAAATAAGAAATGGCCAAAATACTAGGAGATCTGAGATAGTACTACGTATATTGCATACACCTAAGAGATTATAGTTTTAGAGAAGCATAATGAACGAAGAAGAAAATAGGAAGAAGGAATCATTGCATTGAGAAGTGCTAGGCGTAGCTGAACATGGAGCGCTGTAAGGCAAGAGAAAAGAATACACATAATATGACTAGCTGTGAGATAAAAACCGAGTCACAATATACACAACATATCATTTCCTTACACTTCCTTAAGTACACAAAATTACTTCTTTTCATATGAACAAGATGATAGTCAATCGGCATCGGGAAAAAGAAGCATGAAAGCAACGACTATGGAGACACCAATGAATAAACATGCAAGCTTCACCAATCTGGTGCCCGTCTTCTCAAGCTCATGTGGAAGAATTTCGAATGTCGTTATGTAAAGGAATGTTCCGCAGGCTACGCCTAAAAAAAGTATTAGTAAAACCCTTATATACATGATTTAAGATCTACTAAGAATATTAGGATTGCAGAGGTGTCGCGGGTGATTCACTCCATTAATCGTTATCAATGCAAAAAAGCATTACTCAACACCAAGCCATACAAGATGAGTCAAAGGAAAATAAGTAAAGAACAGCCAATTAAGGGCAAGAAAAAATGAGATTAGTTGGAGTATGGTGACACTAACCCTGCAGAATGGTCGAAACCAATGCAGCTGTCGTTCGGTCTCCTCCGGAGAGCATCGACATGATCTCCATCCCGCCTAGTCCACCAATAAGTACCTAAAGGTTGTAGAGAAAGATATGTATGCAATAAGAAAAGAGCGAAATTTATGTGCGTGAAAAAACCTTCCGCTCTTATCTGTCTAAACATGTTTATAAAATAGACAAAATATGCCGATTTTCCAACAATCGGCACTACCAAAATAAAACCTAAGTGAGCAGAAGAAAATTCTTGAGGAAAAAATACCTGTATGCTGAAGAGACATGCACAAAATGCAATCCACAACGTTTTCATACCGCTTTCAACAAGCCGAACACCTAGACTGAAGCCTATTATGCATTTATGGAGGATCAGAGCTGCGAAAACCTTAAAAAAA